GTATATGACTAAAGATAGGTAAATCCTACCACAAAGACGAAAAATTAGCACTGGGAAAGACGTAAACACCGTCGATTGATTTGAGATCCTCAGTCTCACGAGACATCGCGAGAGTGTGGCTGATCCAGGGTTGTGATTGGTCAACAAACTCAAATCAGGTCAGAGGTCAGTCATTTTCCCTTCCCTCCAACACTTTATTATTGTTTCTGTGTCATGATTGAAAAAGTGAAGAACACGTGTTAATTTGTCAAATTGTTCAGGTACAGGTACAGGTCCGGACCTGTACCTACTGTAAACCTCTGTACCAGTACCTGTACCTGTACCTGATGTTACGTTTAGGTATGCAGCCCTAGCGCAAACTGCTGTCTTGACCTTGGATTCTACCTAAAAAATACTAGACACAGATTACCAGAAGGATATGTCTATAAAGCTTTTGTTTATTTCTATTCCCTTGCGATCCAACGAAAATGCTGGACATGTTGTGCGTACACAAAGGGTTCCTTTGAATTTTTCGGCCCCCTGAGCTGGGCCTGGGTAAATGTCTGCCCGGCTCCGTTGGTAGGTAAAAAGCCGTGCGCAGCTCCGGTAGCACTAATAAGGGTTACCTAAGTATGTGTGCGCGGCCCAGCGTATGATCGACGATATTCGCACGAATAGGGTAGTCTGCGCGGCCCCCGCTCTCAGGTGAAGAAACTCGCAGCCTGCGACTTTCGTCCCCTAGGACGACGAAACTCGCTGTGCGATTCTCTGCAAATCGCATACGATTACATACCTGCACGAGTGGCCCGCGTCGAGTCCCTCCTACGCCCCGCGCAGCACCCGGCCGGACCCCCTCCGGCCCGAGCCAACCACTCGCCCCCCACTGAACCAATTCAAACTCCAGAAAATTCCTTCTGCAACTATTGTAAGCAGATTGGCCACTGGAAAAAAGAGTGCCCGCTCTATCCCGCTCCTCAGGCCGTCAGCGGTCGGGAAACGATCCACGGCTGGCATGACGGGTCGGCAGCCAGCCACCAACCCCCCACCCCATTCGACCCTTCCCCCTCCTCCCCCCGCCGCTGGTGGTAGTTTCCACTTCACACCACAAATCCATGATCACTCAATAAATGTTCTTATTGACTCCGGCGCCGACGTTTCTCTAATCACGGAAGACACACTTAAGAAACTTGTCACG